TTCCTTGGAGGGGCAGGGAATGCCTTGTGAGGCATCCCCACACATCACCGGCTGTTCAGGGGTGCCACCGGCCTTGGTTTCTTAAAATCAATGGCCGGTGTGGTAGCAACCGCAATCAGGCTGCGAACAGAGGTGAGACGAGCAACAGGAGCAAAGGTCTCCTCATAGTCAATACCATATTCTTGGTTGAAGCCTTTGGCAACAAGGCGGGCTTTGTAGTGCTCAATAGATCCATCAGAACAAGTTTTGATTTTGTAGACCCATTTGCAACCAATGGCAGTTTTGCCAGGAGCAAGATCAACAATGTCCCAAGTGTGAGTTTTGTCTAAAGCCTGCAATTCATCAGTCATAGCTTGCTGCCAAAGAGGATTAGAGCGAGCCTCACAATAGGAGGTCGGTTCATAAGTAGAAAAAGCAGTAGAACCAACAATAAAGTCACGAAGACGAGCAGAAGGTTGGGTTACCCGGTGTGGGCGAGTAGAGGCAGGAGGAGCCAGAGGGAGAGACTCACCAGGAGGGGAGGAGCCCGAGGGCGCAAGAACAGGACCATCAGAGGTAGCAGGTGCATGGGACAGACCAGTAGGCAAGGCAGACACGAGAGAGGCTGGTAGGGGCGGTGGAGTAAGTTCATCAGAGAACTCGAGAGAGGCTGGCAAGGGCGATGGGGTAAGCTCATCAGAGAACAAATCCGTGGAAGGGTCAGTAAAAAACAGAGAGGATGAGGGAACGGACAAACGGAAGAGAGAGAGAGAGAGGAAAACATTTTGTGTTCCCAAAAGACTACATGACGAGAGATACGGAGTCGCTGGGAGAGAGGATCCCAACAACGATACCCCTTGTGTTCAATACCATACCCTAAGAAGCAATAAATGCGAGAACGTGGTTCAAGTTTGGTACGTTCATGAGGTTGGAGAAGAACAAAACAGGCAGATCCAAAGACCCTAAGGTTAGTGTAAGGGGGATGGGTGCCATGGAGACGCTCATAAGGAGTGTGATTATGAATGACAGGTGTAGGGATA